TAACACAGTATAGTGAGAAAGAACATGGGCTGTAAACAAAAAGATTTCACCTGTAAAAGAAGGAAATTGGTACCTCTTGCCCTACCTAACAGGGCTGTCTTAAAGAATAATGAAATAACGTGGAAGTATTTATAAATGCATGTGTTGGCTATTGCTAGATAATCAGATACCAAATATTTACTAGATAATCATTTATGGTAAGAGTCCGGAGATCATATAGGACTCAAATGATCGAAGAGGCCCCTGTCAAGAACAGAAATGACGGGAGTAACATACCATAGCAAAGACAGTCAGAGAGAGAGAGAGGGACAGAGAGAGGAGGGGAAGATGAGGGAGGGAGAAAAGAGAGAGAGGGGAGGGGAGAGGAGAGAAAAGAGAAGGCAGCACATCCCTGGAGAGAGACAGATCCAGTTTCAAATTCTGGCTCTACCACTTATTTGCTTATTTAACCTGGGGCAAGTCTCTCTGAGCTTCTTTATCTATAAAATAAGGTTAACTAACCAACCTTAAAGAATGTTGTTAGCTTCAGCACTGTGCCAGGCACATTGAAGGTATTTAACAAGTTGTTGTTAGCAGGATATTGAGGCAGAAAAGAAGCAGGAAGGGATTCTAGGTAGAGAAAATAGCATGAACCAGGGTTCAGACAGGAGAATAACCAAGTACCTCAGGAGAGTGTAAGCAGATCAGCTTAGCTGACTGAGGCAGACTAGCAGACAATATATTTAGGAATGTAGTTTAGAACCAGACGGAGGGAGGGCCCTCTAGATGTCATTCTACAAAATCAGGAAGCCAATGAAAACCTCCACGCAGGACAGTAATATGACAGGTCTCTCCAGAGGCCATCAGGGACGGAGCATATACGATGATAAACGATGCGATCAATCAACTCCAGCAGTATCTACCCCACAAACTAGTTCCTATGAACTATCTGTCTACACAGGAATCCCAGTGTGACTCCCTGGAGTGATAAGACAAAGCATGCGTTCCTTGGCCCGCTGCTGGTGAGGTTATGACTGTGGCAGGAGGATAAGATGAAGCTACAGGTGCCCCAGCCCACGGTGGGAAGGAACTGTGTGACAAAAGGCAGAAATCCCCATCCTGAGCTGGATGCACTCTCTTACCTGCAAATGCCATAATTTTCACCACCTGGAGAGGCTCCATCTTATGGTTCAGAATCAGCTGCTGCTCATGTGTAAGTTGGATGGTTTTCTTGCTATAATCATTACAGAGGAGAAATTAGAAAAATAGAGAGTAATTGAAAAGCCCAGGGAACAGGCTGTCCAAAAACCAACAGGCAAACTGGAAGAACAAAAGCTGACCAAAAGAAGGCCTCCCCCTTAGGATGGTTAAAATGTTCTAAAACTACATCATGATGCTGATTGCACAACTCAGTAAATCTGCTAAAAATCATTGAATCACACTCTTAAAATTGGTGAATTTTACATAACATAATGTACATTATGCCTCAATAAAGCTGATGAAGTGAAACAAAACACCTCCCTCCTTAAGCACGAGAAAGGGTCAAGATGGGAAGATAAAACACACGCCACGTTGCACACATACCCTGGCCAGACAGAAGGCTCCTCTTTCACCTTTGTGGCCTGAGTACAGGAGTTCTCCTGAAGATATAGGCAATAGAAAATGTTGTAGTGAATCCTAATAGGAAAAGAAGTAGAGAGTTTCAAATTCAAGTCACAGTCTATATCTCATTTTTCTCCAGATGTATTTAAACTCCTTACCATTCCTAAAAAGAAAAGACCTACCACCATTTCAGGGAACAAAAGGAAAGAAGAGAATTTAAATTTATCTGCAGCTGACAAAAGCATTCTCGGGGAACACAATTCTGGGAAAGGTGCACTGTTTCTACATAACTTACCAAAAGGAGAAAGAGACCAGGCCATGCTCTTTACGGAGCAAGAGCACTAGCTGTGATCTTGAGAGACAAATAATCAAAACAGCAATAAAAACCAGTGGAAAATAAATGCACGCTCTGCTCCAGCAGTAAGGATCTTACTGGTATACTACAACACTTGCTGATAAACTTGACATCAACATCTTCCTGAGCCTCAGCTGCTCTGCCCCCTACTTCTTGTGGAGTGACATTGGTTTAGAGCGTGAATATCATTCTTTTAAGGTCCCAAAGGAAAGGTGCTATATGGATAACAAGATTACCAAGGACCAGAAAACAAAACAGCCTCCAAGTCACCAAGAGGGACCAAAATGACAGAGTTCAAACAGCAGAGGAACAGGACATCATCAAGCTCAGTCTACTACAAGCCACTGCAGGACCTCCACATGTTCGTCCCGACCCCACACTCACTTCCCCAGATCCCTAATGCTCCCTGCAAGCAACTGCACTCCTCCCCATCCCCAGAGAGAGAAGAGCTTGTGTCTGAGCATCAGTCTTTCTGTGGCAACAAATACCTTCAACAATACATTTCAGTTTGGTCATATTATCTCCCAGGAAAAACAGGAAGAAATACCTAAAAATCAACAAAAGTCAACATGTCATACTGCTATGGGCTGAACATCCCCCCAGTATTCACATGTTGAGGTCCTAACCCTGAATGTGACTGTAATTATGGTTAAATGAGGTTATATGGGTGGGGCCCTGATCCAATAGGATCGGCGTCCTCATACGAGACACCAGAGCGCTATCTCTGCCATGTGGGGACATGGCAGGAAGGCAGCATCCGCAAGGCAGAAAGCCAGTTCCTCACCAGGAACCACATCTGCCAGTGCCTGGTCTTGGACTTCCAGCCCCCAGAGCCATGAGAAAACAGGGCTGGTTGGCTCAGTTGGTTAGAGTGTGGTGCTGATAACACCAAGGTCACGAGTTCACCCAGCCGCCAAAAAAAAAGAAGAAAAAGAACTGTGAGAAAATAAACGTCTGTTGTCTAAGTCGCCTGGTCTGTGATGCTTTGTAAGGGCACCTGAGCTGGACCCTGACAGGTCTCCTGCTCCTCATCCATGTCCATGTGAACATGCAGACGACATGTGGGTTCACACTCACGTCATCTGTGCATCTGTCTTGTCCGAATCACATCATGAAGCTCCCTGCCCTTGCCTCCATGCTGCGGAGTGGGACAGGGCACAAGCCACAGCAAATGAACTGAAGCATAACTCAGAGACACAGCAAGCACCCGGACCCATCAAGAACACTGTCCCTCCTCATGCCTCACCAAGGACCACAGGGCCGCCGCTGGGTGCCACTGGCCCCGTTCCTCCCATGCTCACTGATTGCTGGGCTTGCCCTCTGTCCCTGGAGACCTATAGCAACCTCGCCAGGCTGCGCCGTCATGCTCCTGCCACCAGCACTACAGCTCACCATACTCTAGGCTGTGCTCTAGAGTCTCAGGTAACGCACAAGGTTGTCCTTACCCATGCCCATCCGCCCCTATGGACCTCACGCTAGCTCCCCTCACTCCCTACACTCCTGCCACGCTGCACTTTTCTATTCCTTGCACACATCAAGTTCACTCCTGTGTCTGGGCCCCTAAATTGTCTGTTCCTTCTCCTGAAATGCACCCCCTCTTGACATTTGGTTTGGATTCAGATGCTGCTCCCTGACAGCAACGTGGAGCGGCACCCCAATCCCTCCCCTCACCCCGCTAGTACACTCTTACCTAACACACTCACTTATGTGTCACATGTCATCCCACACTGCGGCGAGAACCTGGCCAGCCTTTCCACCAGGGAATCCCAGTGCCCGGGCAGCTGTGTGACATGCAGCGGGTGCTCAATGTTTGCTGGATGCACAGATCCTTGCACACGCTTTGTCCCCCTGCTGCCCACCCCCATCTGCAGTCTTTCTCACACTAAGGTATAAGTGGACGAGGCTTTTCCACATTCCTTCCAGCCCAGCCCAAAAGGGAGGGAGGGAGGAAGCAGACCCTAACATTGTCCTAGGACAATGCAGCCAGGCGTGGATGGAGACGGCTTCTCCTAGCAAGGGGGCTTCCCCGGAGGCTTCAGTACCCATGAATGTAAACTGCCTCAGCGACGTCTTACAGTGACACTGCATCTTCTATTCACAGGGCACTTACCTGCACCTCCACATTTAAACCTCCCAAGCCCTTCATCCTACAGAGGAGGAAGCTGAGAGTGAGCTATATGGGTTTTACAGCTGACTCGGCGTCAGCACTGGTGAGTGGCAGGGCTGGGATTGACACCCAGCTCAGCCCCTTCTCGCTCTCTCACGGTGTCTCCTGCCTTCCTTCCAGGGTGTTACCTATTGCTGATGTTAATCCCCTTCTCCCTCATGGCGTAGAGAAGCACGGCTATGCAGTACAGGGTCTCAGTGACATCCGGCACGGTCACTGTGGAGGCAGGTCTCCTGAGGCAGAACAGCAGCTGCTGGATGTTGTTCACGCTGCTGGAGAGGAGCACCATGGCTGCCACCAAGGCCCAGACGTTGACAACCTGTGGTGAGGTGCATAGGGATGGGAGGAGAGACCCCAACATAGGCCACGGTGAATAAAAACCACATCATAAAACCAGGAAGGAAGGCCAAGTTTGGGGTTCGAGTGCCATCTACAGATTGTCTGAACTGAGTCCAAACTGCCAAAATGGAATTTGACAATGAAACCTTTTCTTTCGCCCTGGATTCCTTCTTCTCTTCACTTTTGAATTTGAGATCTTAGTTTCCTTTAATTAAATGACATTTATAAAATATCTAACATAGAGCCTTACATAGAGATGACACTCCAAAAATGCCAGTTCCCTCTCATGTCCCCAGCCCTGCTCTCTAGGCCAATGAGAGCTCGTAGGCCCACGAGTATTTGGTAGGATCAACACAAGATAACCAGTAAATGAGTGCCTACCCTGGAAGCACAGAAGATGGAGAGACAAGAGGACAGCAGTCTTTAGGGGAGAAATCAAGACTGACAATTCTATAGTATGATGATGTTAATTTTTTAAAAAAAATTATTTAACAATTATTAAATATTAAGTTAAATAAATATTAAATAAGTTACTAAAAATTTATTTTGTGAAGATAGTATACTCCATTTAGTCATGTCTAACTAAATGTTCATTAACAAAGAAATAGCATTAAACACGTTTTTGTCACTCTTACAAGTGTCCCTGTTAAAGACTGCACTTCAGGAAGGGAAAGTTCCCTGCCCCTCTCACTACAACCACCCTGTGCAAGAAAACTCACTCCATGGTCATCAGCAGTCATTCCACTCAAGACAGAAAGAGAGGGCTGCCTGGTTAGTGCAGCTGGTTAAAGCGTGGTGTTAGAACACCAAAGTCAAGGGTTCAGATCCCTGTACCAGTCAGCTGCCAAAAAAAAAAGAGAGAGAAATGCAAATGCCTGGGTTTCCAACCCTCTGTGGCCAGCAAACACAGGCAGAGTTGCATGTGAGTGTCACCAATCTGGAGGAAGAGGAATAGGACTGAGATTCAGGAAAATGGTGGCTATTTCCAGCTTCTCATTACCTCACTGTGTGTCTATAACAAAACCCTTAATTTCTCCACCCTTTTCAAAAAACCAAAGTTGTCAACAATGGAACGTGCTGTATTGTAAAGAAATCCTATATTCGAAGTGTTCAGAGACTAAATGACCACCTTTCAGGAACATTTCAGAGAGGATTCCTGAGCAGAATGATAAACTGGACTAAATGTTTTTTTTAAATTCTTTTCAAATCTAAGAAGTTATAATTATATGGCCTTTTATTTCTGCAGTGGGACCAATGATAAAATTAATGCTCCAAAGCATTCAGAGATTAAATAAAGATTTTGAAAATAAATATAGAGTAATCTGCAGCTGAACTTAATCACCGATATTCTTCCTTCCAGTGAAAGAAGATGCTGCCTTCCCAGGGACCTGCCCCAGCCTCCTGACATACCCCAGCAGCTCCGCAGAGGTCAGGCAAGTGCTGACGCAAGCATGCCTCTGCCTCAGGAAGGAGGGGGTGGTCCCTCAGGCTCCACAGCACTCTCTCGGGGTCTACACTGGGGGAGCATTTAGTGGTAGCTGTATATCTGTAAAACAATCATGAAAGAGTCCATAAGGAAGATGATTATAAGCACTGACGTACAGAAAAAGACTTCAGAACTGTCTTCCTACAGGAAAAAAGAAACTCACCGTATGAGGTTCAGCACACACAGATCTGACTCCTTTTCGATGCCGCAGGTCAACAGGATGCCGTCCACCTTGCTGACAGCTTGCTCTTCATTCATTAGGTATCGGTGATAGAGTTTTTTCCAAGGAATGAACTATATAGTTAAAAAAGCCAAAATAATTTGAAGGCAATGGCTGTTAGCAAGTAGATTAGGCCACAAGCACACAGAAAGCCTTCTACCAACTGAAAAGCAGTTATAGCTCACAGTTCAAAAGCTGAGCAAATCAGATAGAAATATTACACAAATTTTGGTTGAAAACTAGAACTGGGTCCTGGTCTTAATTCTAACACTAACTTGTTGCAGAATCTGGGAAAAGCAAGTGCTTCAGTTTCCCTACCTGAAACATGAGGACACTAAGAGCTCAGAATTCAGTGAGGATAAAATATGAGAGATGTGGCTATACTGACATTGGACAAAATAGACTTTTCAGTCTAAAACTATTTCTAGAGACACAATATAATGACAAAAAGAAAGGACATTATGCAATGATAAAAAGGTCAATTCACCAAGAAGATATATATATATATATATATATATGCACCAAACATCACAGTTCCTAAGTATCTGAAGCAAACATTAACAGAATTGAAGGAAGAAATAGACAGCAACACATGATTAATAGTAGACTTCAATATCTAATTTCAGTAATGGCTAAAACAACCAGACACAAGATGATTAAATAAGCAAGGGATCTGAACAACACTATAGACTAATTAGACCTAACAAACAAACAGAACACTACACCCAACAACAGCAGAGTATATACTCTTCCCAAGTGCACATGGAACATTCTCCAGGATAGATCACAAGTTAGGCCACAAAACAAGTCTTAACAAATTTAAAAAGACTGAAGTTATACAAAGTATCTTTTAAAATCACAATGAAATAAAGCTAGAAATCAAGAGAAGGAAAACTGAAAATCAACAAATACACAGACGTTAAACAACACACTCTTAAAATTACCAATGGGTCAAAGAAGAAATCACAGAGAAAATAAGGAAATATCTTGAGACAAATGAAAATGAAAATACAACATACCAAAGCTTATGGATGCAGTGGAAGCAGTGCTAAGAGGGAAGTTTATAGCTGTAAATTCTTACATTGAAAAAGAGGAAAGAGGGGCCGGCCTGTGGCTCACTCGGTAGAGTGCGGTGCTGATAACACCAAGGCCGCGGGTTCGGATCCTATATGGGGATGGCCGGTTTGCTCACTGGCTGAGCATGGCTGACGACACCAAGCCAAGGGTTGAGATCCCCTTACCGGTCATCTTTTAAAAAAAAAAAAAAAGAAAGAAAAAGAGGAAAGAGGGCCAGCCCGTGGCTCACTTGGGAGAGAGTGGGGCTGATAACACCAGGGCCACGGGTTTGGATCCCTATATAGGGATGGCTGGTTAGCTCACTTGGGAGAGTGTGGTGCTGACAACAACAAGTCAAGGGTTTAGATCCCCTTACCAGTCATCTTTTAAAAGAAAAAAAAGAGGAAAGATCTGAAATCAACAACCTAACTTTACACCTCAAGGAACTAGAAAAAGAGAACAAACGAAGCCCAAAGTTAGCAGAAAAAAAGAAATAATAAAGATTAGAGTAGAAATAAATCAAATTCAAGATTTAAAAAATAAAGAAAAATCAATGTAACTAAGAGTTGGCTTTTTGGGAAAAAATAAATAAAATCAACAAACCCTTAGCTGGACAGAGAAAAGACTCACATAACTAAAATGAGAAATGAAAGAAGGGACATTACAACTGATGCCACAGAAATAAAAGGATTATAAGAGACAACTATGAACAACAGTACACCAACAAATTGAATAACTTAGAAGAAATGGGTTAAATTCCCAGAAACACACAACCTACCAGACTGAATCATGAATAAATAGAAAATCTGAACAGACCAATACTGAGTAGAGAGATTGAATAAGTAATCAAAAAGCTCCCAACAAAGAAAAGCCCAGGACCAGATGGATTCACTGAGAATTCTGCTGAACATTTATAAAAGAATTATACCAATACTCCTCATATTCTTCCAAAAAACTGAAGAGGAGGGAGCACTTCCAAACTCATTATCTATGAAGCAATATTACCCTGATACCAAAGCCAGACAATGATACAACCAGAAAAGAATATGAGCCATCATAAATTACTGAAAATAAACACATCACATCATTGTTAATGACAATAAACATAGCATTCTACTAACGTTTCAAGAAGTATGTACAAGCTGGAACATTGTCCCAAAAAACCTTCTCCAGCATAATGGAGAAAACCCTCACTTATCCCTATCTGTGACTATTCAGTTCACACCCGAGAGATCTCAATTTAGTGTGCACAAATACTATGACACAAACAGGTTCACATCTAAAAGTATAAAGGTATTTCTCAAAAACTAGGAGTCAGTACCCCAAGTAAAGAACAGGGCTAGAGTGACATGAAATTTCCTCCAAAACCTTTTGTGTGCAGAAGAAAAATTTACTAAGTCTTGATATATCTATCTTGCATACCATCCCTAAATTTTTAAGCTTCAATACAGTTGAAGGGAGATTTAATCTCCGTATCTCTGACTTATTCCCAAATAGCTACTTTAAGGGATACATAAGCTAAGCAAACATTCTCCCTGCCCTCAAAGGAAAGGGTGGGAAGCCAGAGCAGTAATATGGTCAACTATAGGACCAGAAAGTCTTCTCTTAGAGCCGGTGTCCACTGTGTCAATCTCAGAAGGTGCTCCAGGGCGATTCAATGTGATACTCATTGGTCAATCACCTGCTATGTGTAAGAAACTGTGAGGCACAACAGAAAATGCAAAGACGTACAGAACAACCAGCTTTCAGCACCCAAGAAAACCAGCTTAAATTATGGGCCTCTATCAATGAGCCCATAATTTAAAGTGGGGAGAAAAGCTCTCTAAAACTCTAATACATGGCTGGCCAGTTAATTCAATTGCTTAGAGTGCAATGTTATAACACCAAGGTCAAGGATTTGGATCCCCTTACTTGCCAGTCACCAAAAAGAAAAAAAACAAAAAACTAACACAGTTAGGTAATAAATTCTGTAACAGAGGTATAAACTGCTACAGAAGCAGAAAGAGGAAAAAGTGATTAACTTTGGTGGAGTTAAACAGGAAGGAGCAGTCAGTGTAAGAGCTAAACGTTGAAGACCAGGTAAGATGTCAATAGAGAAGTGAGGGGCCCTCAGGTGGGAGTGGGAGGATTAGAGTAACCCACGGAAGGTAAGGAATGTGCAAATCATTCACTGTGGAGAGAGTACTGGATGTGCTGAGAGGAAGGAGCCAGGAGGCTGGAATAATAGGCTGGAACACACGTGGGAGAGAGGCCTCAAATGCCTCTGAGGAATATGGAGATGATTGTGAAGGCAAATGGAAACCACCACTTCTGAAGAGATCCCCTCACCAGAAGTATGCACGACATGAAGCTGACTTACGTGCCATTAGAGAAAGTGCCCCTACGCGGCTTAGCACTTACTCACCAGCGGGTCACTGATTATCTCCCTCCACAGGTGGCACACCAGGCTCAGGTTCCAGTAGAGGTCCTCCACGGGGAGGAAGGCAAAGACATGCCTTAGGACCTCAGTGGGCAGGCTACAGATGTGGCTCGGCGCTTCCTGGCAGGGCAAGGTCCCAAGAAGCCCATAGTACGTGTCAGGAATGGGATCAGGACCAATGTCCTCAACTTCTCGGGCAGGTTCTCCAGATTCTGCAGAGAGCCATGGCACACAGTCCTCCGCTTCTTGCCTGGCCTCCCTAGGCCTTGTGTATGACAGGGACAGATGATGCCGTGGGGTTCTCTTAGAAACTCCAGCCCATAGGCTGGTCCCTGTAGCCTGATTACTCTCTTCCTCAAAGGACCGAGACCGCTTCCTGGTGGGCAGAGCTGACCCTGCCGAGCCCAAACTTGCCTCCCCATCATCTTCCTGGGGCAGGGCGCAGCTGTTCTCTGCTGGGAAGATCATGTCACCCTCACAGTCCTGACAGCCGTCCTGGACAGCAGAATTACTTTTGGCCATGTCATTTGTGCCCTGCTGCTGGCCAGCTAGGAAGAGCTCAGGGTTGTATCTTTGACATCCTTGACCTGGAGAGAGAACCCAAACAGAATGGACAAGAAATAAACGACAACTGCTTATCTGCTGTTGACCCAAACACGACAAACTAATTTCAATTATCTATGTTAATAAAGAGACAGGATGTATATTTATGGGTCAGTTGGTTACATAAAAAATATTTATATTTGGGGCCGGCCCGGTGGCGCACTGCTACAGTGCGCCACTTGGGAGCGCGGCGGCGCTCCC